AATAATAATTAGTCTCTTTTATTAGCACGATTTCTCTGTCTCTCCATTTATAGGGTTTTTTATTTTAGTGTATTTATTTTTATTAATTTTTATTGACAGTTATACAAAGAAAAAAGATGACTGATAGATGAGTACTGACACTATAATAATAAATTTTTTCACACATTATTTTTTAACATGTTAATGTTCACGAGCAGCTGCACAAGAGCGCTGGCTCATAAAACACTGATCTAAAACTGACACATTTTGATTTAAATCAGAGAAACATCTGTTCAATCGATAATAAATAAGATTCCAGATGTGAGCAGCTGTTTGGTCGCTGACAGATTCTAACAATGATTCTATCTTCATTCGTTCTGTGCAGCTTCATGTCGACTTTGTTTTATAAAAGACAGTGTGGTGTGTATTTGGCCCTCACTCTCACACACACACACACACACACACACACACACACACACACACACACACACACACACACACTGAGTGATCGATAAGAACCAGAGAGCTCCCCTGGTACTGGGGGAGGCTCAGCTCAGGTTTCTCCCCGGTGGCGGCGGCGGCAGGAAGCAGCCAGCCAGAAACACAATGAGGCTTTTGGAGGCAGACAGAGATCCCCCTGGCATCGCCATGGAAACTGCTGAGACAGACCTCGACCTGGCTGGTGTCATGTTTCACGGGAAGGCAGCGTGTCGCACTCTGAAGCTTTCACTAGTCACTATTTTACACTTACTGTACAGACATGTGCGTCTGCTCAGATTGTAAAGGGTTAATTATTACTGATGGAGAAATGATGATGTCAGCAGCTCGGTGGTTAAACGCTCTGAGCGTCAGCTGACCTGCAGCGTGACGTGTCTCACCTCTCCAGAGAGCTGGTGTGCCACTCCTGCAGCAGCAGGTCCAAGAACTCGAAGCAGCGCCTGAAACACAAGAGAAGAAGAACTGAAGCGTTGCCTGGACACACACGAGTACGTGACAACAACTAAACTAAATTAAAAAATAACTAAAATTAAATGAAGTGAAGAAAATATAAAAAATATATATAATAAAATAACAATATAACAAATATATAAAAACAAATTATAAATATAAATATATCAAGAAAATAAAACAAAATAAAATAAAA